CGGGGCGGCCGCGGGGGTGCCGGCCGGCGCGGGCATGGGGAGGGCCGGCGCCGCGGCCAACGGCACCCCGCAGAACGTCCAGGGCATCACCTCCTACCAGCAGCGGTGAGTAGTCCCGCTTGGGCTGGGATAGTGCCCCCGCCCCGGGGTGCTGGGGTGGGACTCACTTTGCCTCCTGTTTTGTGCTTTACAACACACATGCACATCGCCAGGGCTCACTTTGCCTGCCCCTCGTTCTACAGATGAGGACGAAAAATAATGGTAATTCACAGTCCGGATTGAAAAGCACTCCAGTGCACTGGCGAAGCGAAATCATCCTTTGCCCTTTGCATGGCCCCAAATCCAAAGCTTCAGCCCCGAGTAGCGGAGGAGTTGCAGCGAAGTCTGAGACGCCGCACAAGGTGCTTTTGCAAAGTTTGGGATCCCTGTCCTCTTAACAGCAGAATTTTCTCAATGCCTCTGCCGGTTGCGGACCCGCGCTGACGGACAGCCGGGGGGCAATTGATCACCGGAGGCTGATTGATCATTTGTTTCCAAACAGAATAGGAACGGTTTTCACGTGTAGCAGTAGACTTGTAATTCTACATAATAGTGTTATCATGTCACCTGTTACTACAGGGAAATACAGCATGAAATCCGAGTCCTCGGCGCTGCTAAGTATTCATCTTAAATGCATTATAATGCAAATGCGTAAGATTCAGAGATACGAGTTAGGAAGCGAATTTTACCAAGTTAGGCTAGGTGGTGAGAAAGAAGTTCTAAAGTACTGCTTATTTGCATTTTCTCCTAAACATAATTATAGATTTTAAAAAAAATTATGGATGTGACATTTGGTTTAACTAGGAAAGAAAGGGAAAAATTGACACCAAAAAGTCTTAGAATCTTAAAGTTTTTCCTTAAGAACAACTTTCGATGTTACAATATTTTATCGAAAATGTAATCCACAAAAATGCACTGAGAAAAGCTAATAATGTAATATGAAAGGTAAAGTCCCCATTTGTGGGGCTCAGTTTTATAGAAGATGAAAGAGAAAAGAACACATGAAAATGTGAAATTAAATATTTGTGTTTTCCAGATTGCACACGATTAAACATCTGAGAGATTTGCCAATGGCATTTAACTTAAAATATACACAATGCATAATTCAAATAACAGTTCTTATTTTTACCTTGTATTTCAAACTTCATTGATTTGAGAACCTTTGATTTGAACCAATAGTATTTAAACTGAAAAGGTTAAGATGATCTATCACTGCCATATTTTGTGCCTTCTAACCAATGGCCCAGTGACCAGAGAAGGTTTTGCATAGCACATTGTTTTCCAAGTTAATGCTCAGTATTGCAAATATTCTGCACAAGACTTCATTATATGCTCTGTGTATTGACGGAAGTTTTAAAGACTCTTGAAAATAATTCAGAAAGGGCCTATTTCTTGTCAAAGAGATTTTTTTCATTTAAATGATTAAATTAGTAAGTGATTACGAGATCCTTTAATACAAAAGATTTGGGAATCTTTCAAACATAAAGGAGTAGGAAAAGAATCAGATTCTTTTTCTTTTCATGGTTCAGCTATTTTTTTTTTTTTTTGTCGTTTATGAAACATTTAAATAACAAAATATGGTGGTCACTTAACTAGGAAGTGCAGGCAGTAGTCACAATTGTATGGTCTGTGAAGTAGGGAGTCAAGGGTGTCGTTTATGAAACATTTAAATAACAAAATATGGTGGTCACTTTAACTAGGAAGTGCAGGCAGTAGTCACAATTGTATGGTCTGTGAAGTAGGGAGTCAAGGGTCAAAAATGTCAGATGGCCTTTGGACAATTTCAGAGACCTCCGGGGAACTTGAGCTAACCTATAAGATTTAAATTGTGCATAAGGGGCAGTCATGAATTTCAGTCTTTAGGTTTGCTCTGAGTGTTGGTGTCCTTCACCATAAAGATCATCTCGAGGCCAATTTCCCCTCAAGTCTGAAGCATCTAGAGGTAGTCTCCCATAGTCTACCAACACTGAAAGCTGCACTGGTGCCTTCCACCTTCATTTGTGAATTTGGGCCACTTCTCAAGTCTCTGAATCCCACTGCAGTTCTGAATACTAAGGCTTTAAAAACAATCTACTCTACACTTTAGCCTTTGGGATGCATTATCCCTCCCTTGCTTTTTATGTTCTGTTATATTGACAGAAAAGAAAATGATAGCTGTGAAAAATGTAGCCTTCTTTGGTTTTGTTACTCAGATATGACACCTGTTACTGCCTTTAATTTTAGTTAATTTGGATGCAGGAGAGTGAGTCATGTGTGGCAAGAAGATTACTGGCAGGTGTTTGAGGTAGGGTCTGAGTCAGGAGTCCTCTGTCCTCTGGCACTTAATCAGTATTGTAAGCCACCAACATGTCCGGCTTCAGGGTTTCTGAGGATCAGACTTAGTTTCTACACTGAAACCTC